GCGTTTGCTTCCAGCCGCTTGCTTAAACTGCCGAGGTGACGGCGGCTTGGCTTTCGCGCTTGCTCCGGGTTTCTTTTGGACGCTTTGGGGAAATCTTTGGAGAGAGCGAAGGAGAAGCAAAACGCCACGAAGCGGACCCGAGGACTAACTGTCCGGCGCGCCGGATCCTGAGACGCGAAAGCACCCCCCCCCCCCCCCACCAGGTAAGCTGGTGAATAATTGACGGCGCAGGCAAAAAGTAGCGCGATTCCTCCACTCGGAGCGCTGCTCGGAGGACAAAAGGGCACCCGGAGAGTTCCCAGCCCCTCTCCCGCCGTCGCAGTTGATTCTCGGTCCGGGAGATGCATTTGACTGAGTGAGTGCTGCGGGGGTCTTCGCTCGGGGCGAGCCAGAAGTGGGAGCTGGGGGGATTTCGCTGCAAAGTGACAACTTTGTGAAGTCCGCCCCACGTGGGAACGCCAGTTTATTTATTATTAATTTGGATTATTAGTCCGTCGAGGGCTTCTTTAGAGCTTCTCTGACTCGTAGATTGTTTGGGATCTCTTTCCCCCTCCTCATCCTGGCTTCCCTGTAGCAAATGAAAGAGGAAGGGGGAGAGCTTTTCCACATTGCTGTCTTTGAGAAGGATAATTTTTTACGACTAGCAACGTAACTCCTTAAAAACCGACCCCCCCCTTTTTTTGGGATATATTTTCACCATCTGATTTCATTCTATGAAATGTTTTCTTTAGAATGATCTAAGGAACTCTTCCATTTGATTTGTAAAGTACGTTTTGCGGGATTTATTACCTACCTATAATGTTGGTGATGGATATTGGAGACTGAGTTACCAGATCTAACCTGTAAAATCCGGGCAGCCCCTAGAGAGCACTAAATAATCTCTTTGCTGCCATCTAGTGATCGTCCAGATTTTTGTAGCCCTTTAGAAAATGCAAATAGCTTTCATTGGGTTCAGTGTTTTATACTGGGTAAAAGTTAGCTGCCTTCAAGTCAAGTTTGACTCCTGGTGACTTTATGGATCTTTTCCTTTGGGGTGGGGGGAGAGCTGACCTCTAAGACCTTTGTTAACCTCTTGATACAAAGTTCTGCAAATTGATTTCTTGTCCCACTCACTTTTAGACTTCTTGGCATGTCAAAACTACTCTGAAATACTTACCAGATCTCACAGTAACAACCCCTCCATGCCCCTGGTAATAGTCGGGAGACTTAACCTTAGCTGTATCCTTGGCACTTCCTGAATTGCTTTAATATAGGAAGGAATACTACTGGAAGTGCTGCCCCTGTTTGTGACTGGGTTGTAGTGCAGCCTTCCCCAACCCTCCAGGTTTGTTTGACTTCAGTTCCCAGAATTCCAGAATTCTGGAAAGCATCAGATTGGGGAAGGCTACTGTAAAGTGAGTGAAGAAAACAGCTGTTGCTTTCACTTGAAGCGGAAAGTAACTGCAGTCCTCTTTATCATCCATCTTACTCTGGCTCCTTCCTGGTACATATCTGGAGGTTTTTTGGGATAGTCACTGATTATTTTAAGGAAGAACAGCATGACCTAATCTCTCTGTTGGTGTTTTCTAATTTAAAATCCTTGCACGTTCTGCTTGCATGTAGGCTGGGACCTGAGCGTGCATTAGCTGGCTTGCTTTGGGAATGTTCAGAGAACCTTAGAAAAGACTAAAGTGGGCTTCTGTTTGATGGAAGGTCAAACGGTGTAATAACGGCTACTGAGTGTGAGCTTGACTCCATTGCAAATTCTGAGGGAGGGACTTTAAAATACTTTCTGGAAGAAAGTCATAGCAACATATTTGAATGGGCAACTGGAGTATCAATTGATTGCATGCTGTGTGCTTGTAGGAGTGTGTATGAGTGTGTGTGTATGCACGTACACACAGGTTGCTTGCAGAGCTGGAAGAGACAAAGGTAAATTGGATGGAAACCAAATTCTGTGCTATGTGCAAAATCTGATTTTGATAGTTCTGCTTGGTAACTGAAATGGGTATGTCTGAATAAAATTTCTCTATCTTAGACATTATTTCCATATCTTATTGTTTGATCTCTTTCCTCTTTCCCATTGGAGTTGTACAGATATTAGTGGAGATCTCGGATTCAAGTTTGGATTCCTAGTATGTCTTAATATTTGTTACCTCCAGAAATTCTCCACTCTCGTATTCCCAGCCCCACTGAATTTTACAAGGTGTAGTACTATAAACATGTGGGATAGTCTGAGCCCTTGAAGAAGGGTGCAGAAAAACATTAATAATGTATTATGCCTCTACTAGTGTATCATAACTCCTATTTTATAGAGTTTAGATAAACAAATGTGGGAAGAGAATGGAAAGAAGCGGGGCTGAACATGAAAGACTGTATTGTCTTCCTTTAATGGCAGACAGTGAATGGGACAGATAACTAGCGTTCCCCAACGTAGCATTACAAGAGTTACCCAAACTCATCCAGGCAGGCTTTGGGGTAGGGAGAAAACTGCTTCCTTTGCAAGTTTTTTGTGAATAAGGAATCAGTCGTACCCTTCCTAGGCAGTTTTCTGGTCTATAGATATAAAGTGCTAGTGATGAGAAAAAGTGTGAGGCTGCAGGTTTTTGTCCATAATTTCATGGAAGTGTCCACTGGACTCCATATAATTGCTTCAGAGAAACAATTGTACACAGCTGCACTCAATATGTTACATTAGAATGTATGTGGAATACAATACAGTGGATCTACAAAAATATGTTTTGATGGTACAATGGTATACATCATACTGACATTCTTATTAGGCAGTCCTGTTGGAACATATCCATTTTTTATAGTCAAGGGTGTTAACATTAAAAAATCACGGTGAATGCAGAATGTAATACTAGGTAATTAAAAGGAAAGTACAAAAATATGAAATGGTGGAGTCAGTCACTTAACAGATCCTTGGTTCCCCTCCCCATCTTCTCACATAAGTTTACCCTTTCATAGACTCAGATAGCAGAGTAAATTGACCTGGGGTATTTGTAAGATAAATAAGAACTGCAGCCTAAAATCCAAATGGAGATTTCTCTGATATAAAAACAGGGATCAGTTATAAAGTAGTTAGTGTGGTGTTATGTAAAGGCAAAGATTCTCTTGTCTAAGGATAGTTAAGCTTGGTTAGTAGTTGGATGGGAACACAGTAGTGATCTCAGGGATATAGGCTTGATGGAAAGTTGAAAAAAACATTCCGGAGAAAGATTATGTCAAACAACCTGGCATAGAAGAAAACAACAGGGGTGAAATCATCAGGAGGTAAGCTTGACTCAAGGGAGACTTATCTGTCTTTACCGTTGTGTAAATTAAAGGGTCTTTTTGGAGGAGGTTCTGCTTCTGCAGTTGTGGAATTCTCTCCCAAAGCATGTTGTTGTTGTTTAGTCGTTAAGTCGTGTCCGACTCTTCGTGACCCCATGAACCATATTGCGCCAGGCCTTCCTGTCCTTCACTGCCTCCCTGAGTTTGCTCAGTTTCATGCTCATCCCAAAGCATATATTTGGTTTTTTTTAAATAGATTTCCAAAATGATATTTTGCTGGGAGGCTTGGGGGCGGAGGGGGAGGTATAACGTGATGAGCCGTCCTTTTAA